GGCCTGTATCTCATCTGGGGGCCGGAGCAGTGGCCTCTGATGAAGATTCCCAATTGGTGGGTGGTGAAGGTAGAGCAGGCAGAGGTGGAGGGGCCCATTGCTTGCTTCTCCTGAGTCCGGTCCTGTGGGCGGAGTCTCCCCACACCGACTCTGCGCTGGGCTATGGGACTCGCTTTAGCCAGCGGGACAACAGCCGTCGTGAGGCAAGTGGATTCAAACGTGTTTGCACCTGGGAGGCACCCTGGTCCTCCTGCTGCCCTTGGAACCCAGCCACCATGTGAACACACCTGGGCTGGCCTCTGGGGCGACAGCCACCCATGGCCCAGCATGAGAGAGGGGCCACCTGGGCCAGCCAACCCCCGGTGAGACTCACTGTGTGACCGCAGACACACGCTGAGTCCAGTGCAGGCCAGCCCGGCCAAAGGTCGGCCCCGTGGGACTGGGAGCTGGTTCGGTGGTGGTGGTTTTGAGTCACTCGGTTCTGAAGTGGTTTGGTGCATGAGAGGTACAGCGAGTGAGGAGTCCATGCTGATCACGGAGCACCTGTTATGCGTTCTTACACAACAGTCAGAGTTGGGGTCCTGATTCTCAGCTGGGCACTCCCACTCATCCTCCCTACGCCCCACTCCTCACTGTGGGCCTATGAGGTAAGCGCTGCCAACCTCAGACCAGAGGAAGAAACTGAGGACTCCGCAGAGACCACATGCCCTGCCCAGCCTCACCCAGGGAGCAGGCAGTGGGCTTCAGACTCACTCCCATCCCCGTTCCTGCATTCTCTCTTCCTCCCAGCTGACTCTGCAGATTTCACAGTCAGCCTTGGCAGGATGGTGGTTCAGGAAGCACTCATCCTGGCGGCTGCTCTGCCTGCGGTGTTTCTGAGCTTCTTGGCCTGCTGGGGCTGGAGAAGGGAGGAAGTGAACTCTCTGTTGAATGTGGGAGGATGCCGGGATAGCCTGAAAAGGGCCACAACGCCCCATGATGGAGTGTGGCCAAGGGCAGGGTGGTTGAACAGAAAGCAATGACTAGGAAAAAGCAGAGCAGCTTCGTGCACCCCATGGAGGTCACACTGTGCAGCCCTCACCACCCTGCACCTCCACACCCGGACCGGCCTCGCCCCACGGCCGCTGCTCCCGCTCTCACCTGGAGGGGCTGCACTCCTGTCTGCTCCTCCCTGAGGTCCCCAGGAGACAGCTGTGCCTGCATGGGGGACTCGCTGAAAAATCCGGACCCTCACCCCTTCACTGTTGCATCAGGATTCCCCACGGGGAAGCACAAAAGCGGTAACTCGACCTCCCTGTGACTTTCAATATTTTATATGCTCATGGAGTCTGTGCGTGTCCCAGAGAAACGGTTGCAAACGCAGTGAAACATCAGGCGTCCTTGATTTGGGCTGGAATTATATTCACTTGCTGTGGTCATGGTGGTTCTCTCAGAAAGACTGCCACGAAATGATCCGTATGTTTATATTTGTGTGTGTGTGTGTGTGTGTGTGTGAATTGCTAGCTACTTGAAGTATATTGTGAGGACAAAATATTTTAAAATGTGGTAAAGATAGTTACAAAGTAAACAGTGATCTCACCTGGTAGGGGCTCTGTGGGGTCCTCTGACCTCTTTCCATGCCTCCTCACCCAGAACCAGGGCTGTGCCTGGGGCAGACATCTGCAAACTCCTGGCCAGGCACTGACCGGTCAGCCCAAGGGAAGTAGAGGGCACAGCATTTACCCGGTACTAGCAGCTCCTCTAGTCACTCCACTGGGAACACAGTCGTAGCTCATCCTGTGTGCTGGGCAGAGCCCAGGGCTGTCCCCATCACCTAGGGAACACTCCTGGAACCCCTGAGGCATCACATTGCCCAGAGCACCAGGCCACCTGGAGCACCACACCACCCAGAGCGCCACCCCACCCACAGCGTCACACCACCTGGAGCATCACACCACCCAGAGCGCCACCCCACCCAGAGTGTCACGCCACCTGGAGCACCACACCACCCACAACATCACACCACCTGGAACACCAGGCCACCCAGGGCATCACACCACCTGGAGCATCACGCCACCCACAATGTCACACCACCTAGAGCACCACACCACCCACAACATGCACCACCCCACCCGGAGCGTCCTCACCACCCGGAGCGTCATGCCACCTGAAGCGCCAGGCCACCTGGAGCATCACACCATCTGGAGCACCACACCACCCAGAGCACTGCATCACCCAGAGTGCCACACCACCTGCACCAGGCCACCCGGAGCATCACACCACCTGGAGTACCACGCCATCTGGAGCACCACACCACCCAGAGCACCACACCACCCAGAGTGCCACACCACCCAGAGCACCACACCACCCAGAGTGCCACACCACCCAGAGCACTGCATCACCCAGAGTGCCACACCACCTGGAGCACCAGGCTTCCTAGAGCACCAGGGCACCTGGAGCAGCATAACACCTAGAGTGCCAGGTCACCTAGAACACCAGGCCACCCAGAGCACCAGGCCACCCGGAGCACCAGGCCACCCAGAGCACCAGGCCACCCGGAGCACCAGGCCAACCGGAGCACCAGGCCACCCAGAGCACCAGGCCATTAGAGCACTGAGTCATGTGCTTGAGAATCTGATTTTATGGCAGAGCTATTTTCACATGTTTTAAAATGTTTTAAATGGTCGTGGTTTATGGGATTGTACCCTGAGGCTTTGTAGTGCAGGGCATGGTTTAAAAATTGATTAAATAAATACAATTCTGACACACCTGAGATGGGGAGAAGGCCAGCCTGGCTCTGCCTCCTGTTGGGATAGAATTTACAAAATCTGTTCACGGGTTTGTTTTTGCTCCAGGGAGAAGGAAGGCATTTTTAACAACAATGAAAACAAAACAAAACAAAAACAGTTGCTTCCTAGAATCACTTTACATTGGACAGGACCCAGTTTGTGTGCTGATGACAGTCACTGTGTGCACAAACTGTCATCCTCGTCACCTCTCTGAGCAGTGGAAGGTCAGGGTCAGGCTCTAGAAAACCCAGATTTGGAGGGTCACTCAAAAGTAGCCAAAATTGGCCCCAGGCATGGTGGCTCACGCCTGTAATCCCAGCACTTTGAGAGGCCGAGGTGGACGGATCACTTGAGGTCAGGAGTTCAAGACCAACCTGGCCAACATGGTGAAACTAAAAATACAAAAATTAGCATGGTGGCATGCACCTGTAATCCCAGCTGCTCATGAGGCTAAGGCAGGAGAATTGCTTGAACTCAGGAGGCAGAGGTTGCAGTGAACTGAGATCGCACCATTGTACTCCAGCCTGGGCAACAGAGTAAGACTCCATCTCAAAAAAAAAAAAAAAGCAGCCAAAATTGCTCTAAAAAAATTTGGAAGAAAATGATTTAGCTGAATACATGTTTGATGAAAGGAATAATATGAAAACACTGAACCAGCTAGAAGGTATTTTGGAGATTTTTAGGATAAGGGAAATTTGCTTTGATGAAAGATGGACCTGTTTTGTAGTAGGAAGGCACTTTGTTCTCTTCTGAAGTGGAGGTGACCGGGATATTCCAGGTGCTGACTAGAAGCACATGGCCCTCCTGCACCAAGGGCAGCTGTTTCTCAGGGCTGACAGCAGGAGGGCAGGGCTGGGCAGGTGGACCCAGGATGGTGGGTGCCACTCACCGAGGGCAGGTCTTCTCAGAGATGCTCCTTGGTAAATGAGCTCTGCCAGTCGGTCCATCCTGGAAGTACCATATCCTGATATCCTCCTCTAAGAGCTGCCTGGTAGAGAGAAATCTATTGAAAGTTCTGAGAAGTCTGACAGTAGAGAGAACTTGTCTAACTTTTTTTTTTTTAATGCATCATTTTCAAACTTGTTTAACCAAAGAACTTTATTTTTCCTTCTGGAAAATGCTGCATATGTGAAATTTTCAGTATTTATCCTCTCTCCCAAAATGTGAAATCTCCATTTTCTATTTCTAGGTAATACAACCAACAAGACTTTTGCACGATCACTTGTTTATAACATCACATAGGTTTGAGTACTTTTGTCTCTTATGTTGCCATCGTCCTCTAAATCAAGGCATCAATACTTGTAGTGAAAAATTAATTTTTTAAATCCTTGCTTCAAGGTCCACAGATAAAGTTCTGATGACTCATTTGAGGCCCGTAGGCCACAAGCTGGCCAACCCAGGCAGGCTGCAGCCTCCTCGTGGGGTCTAACTAGATGGAGTATCTTCCTAGGTCTTGTATACGCTCCCTGTATGAATCTGTTCTCACACTGCTAATAAAGACATACTTGAGACTGGCTAATTTATAAAGGAAGGAAGTTTAATGGACTCACAGTTCCACATGGCTGGGGAGGCCTCACAATCATAGTGGAAGGCAAAGGAGAAGCAAAGTCACGTCTGACATGGTGGCAGGCAAGAGAGCGTGTGCGGGGAACCTCCCATTTATAAAACCACCAGATCTCATGAGACTTATTCACTACCACAAGAACAGAATGGGAGAAATTGCCCCCATGATTCAGTTATCTCCCCTGGGTCCCACCCTTGACACCTGGGGATTATTACAATTCAAGGTGAGATTTGGGTGGGGACACAGCCAAACCCTATCACTCCCCTCCCTCGTGACTGTGTCCGGAAGCTTGCAGTCTTTGCACAACTCAGAGCTAAGTGGGAAGGGACGTTCCCCGGAGTGTCCAACCTGGAGACTGGCAGGACCGCCGCCCCCCACCCCACCCAGCTCCTCCCTCACACCATTCCTGAGACAGCAGCCTCCCCCTTTTGTGTTGTAAGCCTCAGTTCTTTTCTTTGTCAGCACCCACTTATCAAGCTTAAGCTCTAATTACACTTATCTGTGCTGAAAATTGGCTATTATCACCACGTAAACTCCTCCTAATTGTAAGAAATACTTCCTTAGCAAACTGCGGGGACCGCTTTCCTTGTTATCGCAACAGAACAGACGGTGCACAGTTGCTTCTCCAGGCTGAACCCCCTTCTTTCCTTTGCCTCTGGCGGCTGCAGGGGTGAGCAAGGTGGTGACTGTGGAAGTGAGAGGGAACTGGCAGCGCTGGCTGAAGGTGCGGGACCTCACCAAGGGGGTGACCTATTTCTTCCGTGTCCAAGCGCGGACCATCACCTACGGGCCTGAGCTCCAAGCCAACGTCACGGCCGGGCCAGCCGAGGGTAAGTGGGACTCCAGGGGCAGATGATGTCAGTTGCAACCTTAGCCTCCCGTCTCCTGCTTCACTGAGCTGGGAGCCGTCTACATGCTCAGCAAGGAGATGCAGGTGGTCGAGAGCTGGCATCAAATCGGTGATGTCTGGGGAACATGGATGTCTTCAAAAGCACGTGTCAACATGGACTTTGCAGGTGGACTTGTTACATCCATGAGCAAATTCTTAAATATTAAGCATGTAAAGTTTTAGTAGTTTTTTTTTTTTTTTTTTTTTGGAGAAATCTTAAGAGAAAAATAACTGAATTTGGCATTTGAAATACATCAGAACATTTTAAAGTTTTCCAGGTCATGGGGAAGAAGCATGTAACTTCCCGCTTACCCAACTGTTCTGCCCTTTGTTTAAAGACAGGAAGGTGTGGGCGGCAGAACTGGCATTCAGGGAGTGCTGCTTAGTCCCAGGCACAGTGTGGGCACCCTGCATGCGCCAGCTCTTTCATGCCCTCTTCAGGTTTTTTTGTTGTTGTTTGTTTTTTGAGATAGGGTCTCAGTCTGTCACCCAGGCTGGAGTGCGGTGGCACGATCTTAGCTCACTGCAGCCTCAACCTCCATGGGCTCAAGTGATCCTCCTGCCTCAGCCTCCCGAGTAACTGGGCTACAGGCGTGCATAACCACACCTGGCTAATTTTTTTGTATCTTGTAGAGATGGGTTTTCACCATGTTGCCCAGGCTGGTCTCAAACTCCTGGCCTCAAGCGATCCACCTGTCTCAGCCTCCCAAACTGGCGGGATTACAGGCATGAACCACCACGCCTGGCCTTGCCTCCCTGTTTTTAAGATGAAAAACCAGGGCTGTGTGAGGCTAAGTAACCTGCCCAGACACTCTGCAGCCTCGACCAGTCTGACCCCCACCGTGAAATCTTACACAGTGGGATGTGAACCCCCCAGGGCTGATGCCTCACCTCTCTTTTCTTTATCCCGCAGGGTCCCCAGGCTCGCCTAGAGATGTCCTGGTCACCAAGTCCGCCTCTGAACTGACGCTGCAGTGGACTGAGGGACACTCCGGCGACACACCCACCACAGGCTACGTCATCGAGGCCCGGCCCTCAGGTAGGGTGGCAGGCCCCACAAACGGGGTCTCAGTCCAGCTGATGGCGATGCTTCTAAGGCTGTGGCTGGGGCTTCCATCACTTTCTCTTTCAGCGTTTCCCCCCAACAAAGCTGAGACCAACAGGGCGGTTTTGCTGAAAGAAGATGTTCATGGCTCACTCAACTCCCCCAAGTTTTCATAGTCACAGCTGTGCCGTTCACCTTAAGGGCCTTCGATTTGGGATGTTTTAGCCCCAGGACACTTACTTAGGATGATAATGGTTATTCCTAGAAACAGGTGAATGAGAACTTAGGGACATTAAAAGGCATTTTCGAACTCATCCGTGAGTGTTTTCAGGGACTCATGTCAGGGTTCTAAATGTTTGCAGCCGAGATGGAAAGCGTCGTGCTTGTGTCTGATAATACGAAGATTCTTATTAATAGCGAAAGCGACACATCGTTTGCTTCATTTTTTTAGGCTTCCGAAAATGAGGTCTAAGATCCATTTCCAGCCCTATTCACCAGCAGAATTTGTTTCACCCTTCCTTCCATTTCCCTTTAATAACTGAGAATGGGCATTATTGGGAAATGAGTTTCTGATCGGGTGCGTCGGATATGACTGCTGGGAGCTAGAGGGTATCACCTAACACAGAGAGCACGGAACAGCTCCAATATGACCTTCAGATGGTTGCACAGTTAATCATGAACATCTGAGCATGAAAATATGTGATGTGTCAGGCACACTATTCAGGAAGCGAGCCATCAAACCCTGCCTGCCAGAGGGACCACGGTGCTCGGAACTGCTTTAGTCTAATATTTAAAGAGGCTGTTAGACCAAGAGGAAAGACCCCAAAGGTACCTCTGTCACTGTGTCAGGACACTCATTCCCTCCTCCCCCACCAAATTGCTTTTGAAAGATTATTAGTTACAAGTGCCTTCTAGAAACTTCTTTATTATTTATTATTATTTTTTTGAGACGGAGTCTCACTCTGTCACCCAGGCTGGAGTGCAATGGCGCAATCTCAGCTCCCTGCAACCTCCGCCTCCCAGATTCAAGCAATTCTCCTGCCTCAGCCTCCCGAGTAGCTGGGATTACAGGCACCCACCATCATCCCCGGCTAATTTTTATATTTTTAGTAGAGAGGGGGTTTCACCATGTTGGCCAGGCTGGTCTCAAACTCCTGACCTCAAGTGATCTATCCGCCTCGGCCTCCCAAAGTGATGGGATTACAGGCCTGAGCCACCACACCTGGCCTCCTTCTAGAAACTTCTAAGGAAAAATTTATTGCCTAAGTGTGAAAAAGCCAAAGGCAATATGAACATTTCTTTGACCTAAGAACTCGAAAATCCAGACATGCTCCCCTGGGGGACCCTGAGAGTATCTTTTGAGCAGGGTGTCTGTCCTGTTGCGGAAACAGAGGGTCCTGAGTTGGTAAAGGATGTGAGTTTAGCAGTGGTCACTGCCTGTAAAAGCCCATGGCCCCTCGCACAGCCAGCTGGCCCTTTACTAATGACTTTGATTCAAGAACACTTTCAGAGATTGATAGGAGCTGAGATGTGTGGGGTCTGGGGCCAAATTGAGGCTTTGTGGCAGTCAAGAGGGAGGGGGCCAGTGACAGGGAGCAGCCCAGACTTAAGAAACCACTTCAGACACTTTCCTGCCCATATCCAGGGAAAGCACTGATTTCTTCATCAACTCTTCCAGCCTGGGTAACAGAGCAAGACTCCGTCTCAAAAAAAAAAAAAAAAAAAGGCCGGGCATGATGGCTCACACCTGTAATCCCAGTACTTTGGGAGGCCAAGGCGGGCGGATCATGAGGTCATGAGATAGAGACCATCCTGGCTAACACGGTGAAACCCCGTCTCTACCAAAAATACAAAAAAAAAATTAGCCAGGCATGGTGGCGGGTGCCTGTAGTCCCAGCTACTCAGGAGGCTGAGGCAGGAGAATGGCGTGAACCCGGGAGGTGGAGCTTGCAGTGAGCCAAGATGGTGCTACCTCACTCCAGCCTGGGCGATAGAGCAAGACTCCGTCTCCAAAAAGAAGTTTCTACAAGACACTTGTAACTAATAATCTTTCAAAAGCAAGTTGATGGGGGAGGAGGGAACCAGTGCCCTGACACAGTGACAGATGTAACAAATAGAATTCAGGAGATCCAGGGGTTCACAAATAGAATTCAGGAGATCCGTGAGCTTGGATGGGGGAAAATACACATTTTCTTTTCACTGATCTCTAACTGGAATTTGGCATTTCCTTTGAGTATGGATGCAGGCCCATTCATTATCCAGGGCTGCCATAGCAAAGTCCCACAAACTAGGTGGCCTCCACAACAGACATGGGTTGTCTCATGGTTTTGGAGGCTGGAAGCCCACAGTCAAGGTGGCAGCAGGGCAGGCTCCTCCTGAGGCTGTGAGGGAGGATCTGTTTCCTGTAACCTCTCCCCCAGCTTCTGGTGGTTATGGGCCATCCTGGGTGATCTGGGGCTGACAGGTGCTTCATCCACCTCTACCTTCATCTTCCTATGGTGATCTCCCTGTATGTGTGTCTGTGTCTTGGTTTTATGTTTTATGAGGACACCAGTCACACTAGACTGGGAACCCACCTACTCCAGCAGGACTTCATCCTAACTAATTACATCCGCAACTACCATATTTCCAAATAAGCTCATTTGGAGGTATTGGGGGTTAGGACTTCAATATATGAATTTGCAGTGGGGGGCAGGGACATAATTCTATGCATAATAGTAGCTAAGAAACCACATAACTCATAGCAGGACCTGTGACACTTCCAGCAATACTTTCATATGACCTCCCAGCCATTGCAGATATTTCACGACGCTGTTTGGACGTGTCCTTACGTTGAAATCGCAGTCATTTGTAGACTCTGTGCTGGACCTTGTCGGCCAATGAGTCCATGAAGCATAGACTTTTGAGTTGCGCTGGGATAACGGTGGCCGCAGGTCACCGAAATCCAGCTCTTCACGTGTCTTCCAAGGAACCACGTCACCAAACAAGTTAGTGCAGAGAAAACCACCCATAATCCGTGCCTCCAGCATTACCTGGAGACACGGGTTCCCAGGAACCTGCAGGTGCCTCCAGGTGATCATAGGCATTACCAGTTGTATGACTCCGTTCTCACGTCGCCATAAAGAAATGTCTGAGACTGAGTAATTTATAAAGAAAAAAGTTTAGTTGGCTCATGGTTCTGCAGGCTGTACAGGAAACATGGTGGCTCTGCTTCTGGGGAGGCCCCAAGAAGCTTCCAACCATGGCAGAAAGTGAACAGGGAGCCGGCATGCCACATGGCTGGGGCAGGAGGAAGAGAGTGAGTGGGGAGGTGCCACACACTTTTAAACAACCAGGTCTCATGAGAACTCACTCCTTATTTGTGAGAACAGCACCAAAGGCGTGGTCCTAAAACCATTCATGAGAAACCCACCCCAGTGATCCAGGCACCTCCCACCAGGCCCCTCCCCCAACACCGGGGATGACAATTCAGCTTGAGATTTGGGTGGGGACACAGAGCCAAACCATATCACCAGTAGAATTGGTTTCCTTTCCAATTTTACTTTATGTATCTACAACCTTTCTGAGAAAGTGTCCTTGAGCCAACAGATCACCAGAGGGACCCATGGCACCGAGAGCAGATTAAGACGCCTGTAATCGCAGCACTTTGGGAAGCCGAGATGGGCAGATCACTTGAGGTCAGGAGTTCCAGTCCAGCCTGACCAACATGGAGAAACCCCATCTCTACTAAAAATAGAAAAAAAATTAGCCTGGTGTGGTGGCACGCACCTATAGTCCCAGCTACTCGGGAAGCTGAGGCAGGAGAATTGCTTGAACCCAGAAGGCAGAGGCTGCAGTGAGCTGAGATCGCACCACTGCACTCCAGCCTGGGCAACAGAGCAAGACTCTATCTCAAAAAACAAAAAAAAAAAAAAAAACAAAAAAAGACACCTGTACCAGAAAACCACAGAAGGGCCTGGCTACAAAACTTCCTCCTCCCTGAATGCCTGCCTCCTTGACTAGAGATGATGGATCCCAGCAGACGGGTGACTGTCACAGGGCCACAGAAGGAGGCATGCTGGATCTCGACGGCATCACTGCCCGTGTCCCAGCTGTGAGGTTGCAACACGGTTTTGTAGGATGTTACCACTGGGGGACATTGGGTAAAGGATGCACAGACTTGCCCTCCGTTGTTTCTTACAACCACTTGGGACTCTTCACCTATCTCAAAATGATTTGTTTAGCTTAAAGTAATCATTTAAAAAGCCACGGTGTCCATCCTTCCCCAGCCTGCTCGGCCAAGCACACCAATGTGTCTTTGAGCACTCTGGGGCGGGAGACCAGCCTGTGGGATGGGGCGGCACCAGCCAGACACAGGTGCCTGGGCTCAGCCTCTTAACGCTGTGAACACGTCTCGGCATTTTCCAGGCAGTGATAAGGCATTGGTTCTCAGACTTGCTGAGGGAGCACTTGACCTTCTCCTCAGGTTCTCATATGCTGCTCCACCTGCCGTCACGAAGGGAACAGGATGCCTGTTGGTTACTGAGGCAGCCCAGGGAGCCTGGCAGGCTGTGCGGTTAAGAAGCAGTTGGCGTGTCGGTGAGGGCTTCACACTGGGCCCACGTCTCGGAGGGGCTTGCCTGAACATGGAGAAGCTTCTGAAGTCAGCTGAGTCTGACCTCAGCAGGGTTGGACCAGAGTGTGGAAACTGACCCACGGGGGACAAAGATGTGACAACAGACCTAACAAGAAGACGCCGGCTTTTTCGGCGAGGGCTGAAGATCCTGCACTTACTTCTGCTTGGCTGCTCGACATTCGAAAACAGGTCACCAACGATCTCCCCTTTCGGGTCATGAAGGGAACCCAAGCAGGCCGCGAGACCCGTGGTCTTTCGTGGGAAGTTGAGAAAGACGCCCCCTCCCTCCTGACTAAGGCCTGCAGCAGCTCAGGCAAATGAAACGCTTTATGGATTGTCAATATTTAAACACCTTGCCGGTACCTGAGGGCTTTGGATC